TATTGATAATGTCAGCGGAATACTCGTGCAGACCACGACACGAAGGACGTGATATCACTTAACCCAACCTGCACGTGACCGGCCACCATTCATCCTTTGCCCACGTGGCAGTTCATGAGATGCTCAAACCCACCGAATAGTTTACCGGATTACCCGGTCTTTGTTAGTCGGTCGGTCATGAATTTTGTTTTTTTGTTTCAAATAAATACATACACGCTCACTTATATTTTGTCTCCTCAATACAATTTACTCCGTACATTACATTGCTGACGTCATTCAATAAATTAGATTGTCTTCCCTGATGGTTTTGTCTTAAAGCATAGCAGTAATAGGCTTATCAATTCAATTAGCTATAGATGATCATTTTTCTTTAAAGTACTAAAGTATCATAACCTCTCCTTTTCTTTTTTTCTTTTCTCCTTTTTTTTCTTTTTTTCTCCTTTTTTTTTTTTTCTTTCCTAACAAAATCTCAACACTTTTAAAAAACTCAAAATCTCTATCTTTATTTTATAATAAAAGGAGATGTCACATACTTTGATACAATATCACTTTAACATGCAACATGATAATGAAATATGTATTTAATTTTAGGGCAAATTTTTCAAAAACCCCAAAACTATTAAAAAGTGATCAAAAAACCCCCAACCAGTTTTAAAAACCCCCAACAATATAGCAACGTTATCATTTTATCTCAACTCTGGCAATTGGCTCCGTTAACCCACCGCGTGGTTAACAAAAGCTTTGACAAATTGACTTGTGTGACGAAAATACCCCTAATGTCACATGTGCCAAACAAGTGATGTATATTTAAATGTGTTATACCGAAAATACCCCCAAGCTTGTAATAGTAAAAACACACCCACAGTGTCATCGTTTTAGTTCATCTTCTCTCCTCCATTAGTCTAGGATGAGGTAGCTGGTTATGGGTTCGGTCATGGGTTTAGGACGTCCACGAAACCCATTTCAGTCCAATGCATTTCTTTTTCGCGAAACCCACTTTAGTCCGACAACGTGCATGTCCACGCTACCTCGGCCCCCCATTGCAAAAACCCAACAGCGAGCTCCTAAAATTGAAACGACGGTGAAGGTGACGGCGACATAACAGAGTTCCAAGACTTGCACGATTCTACATTGACCAAAGCTGAGTTCGTGAGATTGAAGCCATCTTCATGGCCGTGGAGTGCTGCACCACCGTGGCGACTATATTGTAGTAATGGAGTGTCGCACCGCCGTTGCCATTACGCATGCTCACCGGTGAAGTTGGTTGCAGTCACCGGAACTATTCGGTGAAATTTTGGAGTTTGCTGCTGAAAAGTTCGCGGGTGTCTTGAAGCTCAATGAAACTGTTTCGAGATTTGCTCTCGCCGGCTTCAATGGAGGTTTTCAGGTAACCTACGGGAGATAGGAAACTTGTCAAATTTGCTGGAGCTTCAGTTGACCAACAATTTTTTTACTGTTTCGATAACTTCAACCATAGAAATTTATCAAGTCTCACGATAATAAATCTCTCTAACAACCATCTGAGTGGGACCATTCCTCCATAAATAGGTTTACATGAAAAGCTTAAAATAAACAAACAGTCTACGTATTGCACTAAAAATGAAGTTGCGCGTACTTCTTCGTATATTAACCTTAAATTGTGTGGTTCCTGCAAATTTGTTTTTACCTTAAATTGAACATGTATTTTACTAAAACGATGACAATACGAAATTAAGTTTAGGATGAGGTAGCTGGTTATGGGTTTGGTCAAAGGAGACGAGGTGGCGGATAGAGAGGACGTTGAGGTGACCTGTGGAATCATAGAAGGTGGAGGTGGAGGTGGATATGGAGCAAAAGAATGAGGTTTTGTGGCGCCGAGGGTGGGGGAGTCGGAAGAGGTGGTAGTGGCGTCAGCGACGGTGGCCAGGTCGTTGGAGAAGGAGAGGGAGTGATGTGGGTGACATGGCCGAAAAGGACGCCATCCACGTCACCTAGAGAAAAAGAGAAACGTTGGATCAAAGAGGCTAACGTGGGGCCCGATATTTGTATCTTCCGTAATGGAAGGTCATCCATGGCTGCCATGCTAGAGAGAGAGAGGAGTGAAATTTGTGCGACAACGTCGTTTGAATTTAATATTGTACCCACTGTTAGGTATACTGTGAAGGATAATATTGTAATTTCAAAAATATGATTTTTTTATTTTTTTAAATAAAAGAAAATATAATAAGGGTAATTTAGTCATTTTACATATTCTTAACGGCCAATTGCCAGAGTTGGGGTAAAATGATAACGTTGCTATATTATTAGGAGTTTTTAAAACTGATTCGAGTCTTATAATCACTTTTTAATAGTAGTTTTGGGGGTTTTGAGAAATTTGTTCTTAATTTTATAATCAAAGGATGATATATTACATCAAAACTTTTTAATAAGAGTAGTACCTAACAATAAACCGAATCTATATTTACTTTTTAATATATAAAATCATACATAATACGGAGTATATTACATGTACCTCCCTAGTGCATGAGAATTTAAATTTAATATGAAATATATTATTTACCGACAAAAACAATGAACCTATATACAGACATTGTTGCAATATTGAAGATTTAAATATTGAGATAGGGTGTATATATATTATATACAGATAAAATATATACTAGTATATATATATATATATATATATATATACATGTCTGTGAGACTGTGCAGCCATTGTGGTAGATTGGACACGTGGTGATACTGGTTCGACGTGGTGCCATGCATGAGCCGATAAATCTGACTCGGTGGCTGCCATTACAGAATCGTCGGTGGTGTAGCTCTTTTTTTCTGTTGCTCAGATTGGATTGTGGTCATGCATGGCTCAGCCATTCATTTTGTTTATAGCAGTCGGCTTAGCACATCGCAGGAGATAAAAGTGGACCCATCTTGATTTTCTTCTTTTATTTCCTTTTTTTAATTATTATTTTCTTTTTTTTTTTTCGCAACTCTATCTAAAATGTCCTAACATTACTAATCTAGTTTTTTTTTTTTTTTTTTTTCTTTCACCATTACTAATCTAGTTTGCTTTATGAAATTCCGCCAAGAAACTTATCCCTATACTTTACGTTTTGATTACTTCAAGTTTTAACATTTAACAAAGTTTTTTTAAAATATAGATATATATATATATATATAATATAATAAATTATGTATTATTATTATTTTTCATTGATAAAAAAAATAGTATAAATATCACTTAGATCACGAAACCTTAGTAAATTAAATACGTAAATCAAGAATATAAATTTTATGCGCCACTCCTTTTAAGTATAATATAATAACATATTTACATAAGCCTCTCTTTTTCATTGAAAAAATACACTAAATTTCTTAATGTTAGTATCTTGTAAGTACCTGTAACAAATTATTTAGGTTACAATTCACTTGAGCCAATTAAACAACATAATTTGCTTCATCGGTATTTGAATTCTAAAATATCATATATGCCTATATATATTTTTTAGGTTTTATTTTTTATTTACAGTTAAGAGATAAAAATTAAATTCTGTATTAGTGTCATTCACAAAAGAAGAAAAATAGAAAAAAACTTTAGATCAGTTTTTGTTATAAGAACAAGAGGAGAGTGATTCTATTGCTAATTATTTAATACTGACAAAAAAAATTGTTGGACACTATTTATAGTCTTTGTTGAAGGAAAAAAAGATGCTTTATATTGGGGGTGTTTTTTTCACTTTGCTCTTATAAGGGTATTATCGAAAAAGATTATGATGTTTTTAGAATTTAATATCTTAATGGTGATTTCAAACTTTTTTTTGCTCATTTTTCAAACACAACGAAATTATATATACAACATAACCCGGAGTTATATACCTAAAAATAAAAGGAGTCATGATACTTAGACAAAAAATTTAGACCAATTTGTTAGACAGAATCTATATGGCACAAAAAGACAAATAATATTTAGCGCTGACTCATTACAAAATATTGAATTTCTAATTTTATTTTCGATCTCCTAACTGTTCGTCTTCTATTAGGAATTTATTATTTAGTTCCTTCTTTAATTATTTCCAATTTTTTATCCATAAATATTTCTAATATCTATTTTGTCATTGTCAATGTGGACTTAAGAAAGGTTTTTTTTTTTTTTTTTAAAAAAAAAAAACTTATTGATTTGATAGGTTTAATTGATAATGATTTGATAGGTTTAATTGATAATAAGATAAAGGTAATACAAATATATGGAGATGATTTTATTAACATTTAAAACTCCAAAAAAGAAGAGAGAGAAACTTAATAGTTATCACTTTAAATATTTTGACATGGCATATTTACATAGACACACACATAGAGTAGGTCAGAAAAATCAGTTTATCTCTTCCGTAGTTCGGTGTAAGTATCATTTTTTAAATAAAAAATATATGTATTACTTGCCCAAAATTAAAACATTAAGATATTTTTCTTACTTTGCCCTTTTAAAAATTTGATACCACTCCACTAGCCCTACGGTACTCTATTTATTGGACCTGCCAGGAAAGAAAACAAAAAAAAAAAACCTCTAATTATTGGACTTGCTATAAAAATAAAAAATAAATAAATAAAAAAACCGCCTCTCAAAAAAAAAATCTGACAGTAATTATTTGAAAGTTGAAACGGCTCTTGAGTCTTGACTAATCCGAAATGGGAGCCAAGCCGACATGAAGCCAGCTAATAAAGGGCCAACAGAGACTTTCAACAGTTTTGTCAGGAAGCGGATTTGAAGGTCTAAACTTAAATATAGTTAATTGAGCCCATGGAAAGAGAGGGAAAGAGAAATAAATTAAATTAAAGAGAGAGATAAGGAAAAGGTTGAGGCCATACGCGAGATGTCCGTGAGGAGAGAGAGTTTTTTCTAAGTATCCGCCAAACACGCGCCTGTCCACATCTATCCCTATCCCACCATTTATTAATTTTAAATAAAGAAAACGAAAATCCATCCCCATTCCCTTCTCCTCCCTATATAAATCCTATCCCCTCTCTCTTTCCTCTCACCAATAACTCACCTTTTCTCTCTCTACATTATTTCTCTCTCTAGAAACCACTATTAAATCCCCCTTTCCCCACTATATAAAACCCTCGTTCTCCTTATCTTACCCACCATCCAGCATCCCCCTTTCTCTCTCTATATATTATATTTTTCTCTCTCTAAATCTATAGACTCCACCAATTTCCTCCCACCCACTATTTCCTTCTCCACCAACAATTTTTAAGGCAACAAATTTCTTTCTTCTATCTACTCCTACACCTCGTCCAACTACCATCTTTTTTCTCTCACTCTGGAAATATATACACCATAGGAACATCCTCCCTCTGTTCTCAAACAGCATTCAACTTTTTCATTATTTTCTCTCTCTAGAAACTCGACATACATCAACAACTTTGTTTCTTACTCAACTATAAAACCTAATCTCCCTCTCTCTCCACCTATACATATAATAGAGATATTGTTTAACCCCTTATTTTCTTCTCTCTCTAGAAGATCCCGGAGGGATTTTTGTCTTTGTTTGAAACTGAAGCTCTCTCTCTCCACTTTTTTCTCTCTTATAATTTTAAATGGAAGACATTAACAATGAAAACAACAAGAAGAAGCGATCCCGAGCTGACTCGGATCTGGAGTCTCCCGGGTCGGAGCGAATTGACTCGGATGAGTCAGGGTTCAACTCGCCCGAGGCCAAGCGGATCCGAGAAGACCTGCTCGATATACTCGACGACTCGGATACGGTCACGGATCGTGACCCGGCGATTCAAGACCTTGACTCGGTCATCAAGAGCTTGGAAGAGGAGATCATGCACCAATCTCCGCCGCCTCAGCCGGCGGTGGTTGTCGATGACTCTGCCGCCGTGCCCCAGCCGGACCTCGGGTACCTCCTGGAGGCCTCCGACGATGAACTGGGTTTGCCGCCGGCGATCTCTCCGTCAGGCGAGCAGACGAAGAACGAGTCGATGGATGTGAGGCCTGTTTCGCCGGCTAGAGAATATGGGTTTGACGAGGTGATGGTAATGGAAGATGAGATACCGAGTTATGACTCGTTCGAGTGGAGAATCGTGGATGAGACTCGGGAAGTGAACGAGTTTGTGACGTTGGGTGGGTTGTTTGATTACCCTGAATCGTTCGACTTTTCGGAGTTTCCGCAGCCGGAGTTGTCTACGCTCTAGAAAATCAATTAGAAAAAGTAATTAGAAACAGTTGTATGTATAGGGTCCTTAAGAATCAAATCGTTAGGTTGTAAATTTTGGACAATGAAAACAGATGACAAGAAGACAAGAAAAATTACATTGAAATTCATATTTTCCTTGTGCTTTTATTATTATTATTTTTTTATTTTCAGATCAAGAAATATTAAGACACTTTTTTAAATCCAAAAGTAATTTCTATACAGTAGAAAATTGATCGATAGTTTCTTAAAGAAAAATTTATTTATTGTAATTCAGTCACATCACTATAATGCTACCATATCTTATTTTCGTACCCAATGTACGATATTATTAATTTTAATTTTACTGTTGTTTGACTTAATTGATCGGGTAAGGTAAGAAAGTAACCAATGTACGACATTTTAAATTTTACTGTTGTTTGACTTTATTGATCGGTGAGGTAATAATGGCTTACAACAGCCTTGGCAACCAGATTAAATTATAACATGTGGTGTTAAATTCATCTAAACCTACTAGTTAATATCATGTACAGTGATATTTTTTACTAATAAATGACTACCTACTTTTAGTTGGTTTTAACTTTTAATCTATTTCCTAATAAACAGAATTTGTTTGAGAGCACCTTCATACTTTCTACTAAAAAAATTTCAAATTCAAAAAGTGTATTTCGTGCTTTAGTATTTTTTTTCTATTTTATAAAAAAAAGAACAAATTTGATATCAACAAAGTTTTTTTTTTTTTAAATAATAATATTTCCTTTCTTTTCCTTCTATTTTTTTCAACAAACTCATGTATGGCTCCAAATCCTTCCAAAATTTTATACCAAAAGTTTTTTTTTTTTTTTTTTTTTTTTTTTTTTTTTTTTTTTTTAAAAAAAAAAAAACATATCCTGCCATTTCTTTCCAACCAAATTAGGGCTTAGTTAAATTTTGTAGCATAGAGATGGAGAGTTGCAGTGTGAATTGGGTATGATTAAGATGGGCCAACTTAGACCCAGTTCAAACACAGACCAGGATTAAACCCAATTATAGGTGATTTAGTTTCATGAACTCTAGGATTATTAAGGATTACCTAATTTAGTATGCCATTGAGCTGAGAAAGACAAGAATCAACTATGAGAAGGAAAATGGATAATCAAATTGAAAAATCAGGAAAAACAAAAAATCAAAGCAAAATACAGAAAATAATAGAACAAATTATTATTTGAAAGTAGGGTTTAACAAAAGAAACCACCTTATCAATTGAGGCTACCCAAAATAATCTTCCGAGAATAACAATGATCTCTATTTATATTTGGATAGATAGAAGAGAAAAGAAAGAAATAAGCGTAAGCCTATCCAAAATAATCTCCCTTTTTCCATATACATAAAAAAAAAAAATAGTGGTATTTATATGATATAAAAGTATTCAAATATTTTTTCTTTTTGTGGTTGGGGGAAAGATAGAAGAGAAAAGAAAAGAAAATATAAAAGTATTCAAATATCATTTTTTTTCTCTCATTTTAAAACACACAAACACACTAAGCCCCACCCTTCCTTTTCTTTTCTTTCCATATCCGTCCAAATCATCTCATCCAAACGCACTCTAAATGTTAGAAGATACAATTTATTGTATTTAATTGAGAAACATTAAATCATTGTTTAAAGCATTTGTTTAACTTTCTTTTTTCTTTTTTTTCTTTCAATATTTGTGATCATAGTAGGGAAAGTTTTTTTAAGGAATTTTGAGGTGTAGAAAATTTGACAACTCCATAAGTAAAATTTGACCAATCCATTACTAATCATGATTTAACTGTCTTACAAAATCACTTGAAACACCTAAGCAAAGATCCAATACTCTAATATATAGTCAGGATAGATATATATGGTGTTATACTCAGACGCAACATGGTACTTCATTCACTGAACATGAATGCTATTGCAGCCACCAACACAACCAAGTAATCTTCCATCTTCAACCTTATGCCAGCAGCACTGTGCCCAAATCCAAATCCCATAATGGTAGGTCTTGGTGCCACTGTCACCATGGGAGAAGCTGAAATTCCCACCAAAAAAAATATATAATAAAAGATTATAGATATAAATGAAAAGCATTATTAATATCTTATGATAATGTGAATATAGAAACTATTAGAGTAGTCTAACAGATTTCTAGCTTCTGAAACGCAGTTTCTATGCAATTTAATTGACTGGTGATTCAACAAATAAATTCATATAATTTACACAAAGTGAGAATAAATTAAAAATAAAAAGGGATCTGTTAGACCAGATAATTTTTTGCATACCTGCAACAGTAGAATTGTTCTTTGTCCCAAAGGAAACTTGAGAAGAAGGTGAACTTGGAGACAATGGCACCCCTTCAGTAAAACCAGCAGCAACACAAAATCAATTAAGATATCCACAAATAATGTATAAATATGTGTTTATTTTATCTAATATTATTATTATTATTTTGGTTAATATAGTTGGGAGTGGACCAGACTATGATTTGATGTTTGAAAATTGGGATTGTATACATATATATACCTGAACATGTAGAGATGCCAATTTGGAGATTACAGAGAGTGGGCAGCTGGAGAGCAAGTGTGGTGTTAATGGGTAAAGAAGCCAAGGTTGTGTTGTTCAGCAAGAGGCAGAGGCAACTGGGCTGCTGGCTGTAGACTTGTTTGATGTTGTCACAACACTGCTGTGCTGGTGAGGGGGCTGTGCCCTGCACAAATGCTGCACATGAGGTCAATGGCAGCAACCGTGGCCCACATTGGGTGATGGTGGGGTCCGTAGGCGAGGTGCCAGGAATTTGTGAGTGGGTGGTGGATGGGAGGCCAGTGAGAAACACAAGTACCAGAAAAGTGCTAGCAATGGAAGGGAATGAGTACTTAGAAGAAGGCATGGTGTATGTGTGTGCTTTTTTTGTAGAGTACTGAGTACTAAATTGTGTTAATTTACTAAGATGAATGTGATTTGCTTTCTTTTTGCTCAGAACAAGTTGCTAAGGGCTCAAAATAGATGAAAATGCATTGTTTAAGCATGACCATCTGCATGCCTTGTGTGTGTGATTCTACACACACTTCTTATTCTCTCTCCATCTCTTTATCTCTCTCTATACACACACATACTACATATATGGTACACAACTATTTTACTGTACTTTAATCCCAATGAGAGATATGCAACTATTGAAAATGCATGCATCATGTGTGACTCTGGCATTCATCAGGCCAGAGTTTTTGTTTTTGTGTCTACACAGTTTCATAACCTCTAACTATGCGTAGAAAACTAAGGCTCTGTTTGGAATATATATACTATCGAATTTGAATAGGCTCATTTAAATATTTTTTAATAGAAAAATAATCATCTTGAATAGAATCATTTCAAAAATGAGTTTAAAATCATAAATTTTGTTACTTAAAAATGACCATGTTGAAGGAAATTAGAATTGTATTGTTTCCTAGTCAAGATAATGACCTTCTACATAATGTGAAACAAAAATAGGACCATAAAAGACATCCAAACAGGACCTTTCTCTGCGTCCGTGGTTGCTTCTAGCCCCCTCTTTTTAAAGACATTTATGTTCTTATTCTTCTTAAACTTCAGACAGTTCAAATAAAATAAATAAAAGCTAGTGATCAAGTTTGGTGGCACTTGCAATTCAAAAAAATTTAAAGACTGGTGATCAAGTTTGGTGACACATGACCACAAAACAGAAAAAAATAATAATAATAAGAAGAAGAAGTTTCATGACATATACATATGCACAAACATGTATATATGTAGCAATCCCTTTTATTCTATTTGCAGATCTGTTATTTATTACATTTGTTGGGATTTATATGCCCTGGCATAGCAAATTCCTATCTGGATTATAGTGACATATGTTCCTGACATATCTGAAATATTTATGATTTATATAATTGGTGAATTCAATGTATTATGTTTCGATTCACTATGAAATTGATAGTGTCCATTTAATTACAAGAAATATTTATATATATGTATGTGATGACAATCAATGCATGATTTATAAATAGTAATTATAAATTGTTCATAGTCGGTAATTATGGATGGACTCATAATTAATTAAGACTTGAACTGGATCCGCGTTAGGTTGAGATATATTGCGAGAGCCGTCGTATGCAATTACTCCCTATCACCGTCATGGCATTTGACTCTTAAGCATGAGAAAAGTATAGACTCTTTTATTAATTAATAATTACTTTGATTTGTTCGGCAGATTCTTTGGGATCCTTAGACCGACACTTTGGGTAGTTATGTAATTAATAGTTAGAGGGTTATATTTTCAATATTTGCATCATTGCTACTTGTATTTATTTTGTATTGATTATGGTTGATCACAAAGTAAATTCGAAGGCCTTCGTGTGTTTTTAGACAAAATGATTTATTATATATTTATTTATTTAAATTATTATTTTTGTCAAACAAATGTTTTATTGTGATCGAGCCAGAAATAATCAAAGGTACCAAAATAAATATATTAATTAAGTAGTCGGATTGATGGCTATATTTATCCGATAACTAATTATGCATAGAGGGGTCAAAGTGCAATATTGACTTAGAGGTTATTTATTATTTAATTGGAGTTCAATTAATTTCTTTTAGTGGAGTAGAAATTAATTTATGAATTAATTGAATTGGGTCCATGGACCGGACCAATTATTAATTCATTGTAGCCAATAAAATAATAGGCCCAATGGATTCTCACTCATAACCCAACTTGATATTGGAATCATATTAGATTTGAGACATATGAATTAGAGATGGAGAAGGATTTGTTGTTTCCTTTTCTTTATTTTTATGTTGCCTATAAATATACATGGTCTATGTATATTTTAGGGGGTGATTTTTATGAGAAGGAAAAAGGAATAAATTTTCTCTCTCTAGAAAATTAGGGTTTATGTTCTCATCTAATGGAGGCTCCCACAAGCCTAGTTTTCCGAGGTAATTCATGGAGGCTTATGAATGATTCCTAAAGGCAAAATAATTACCAAGAAGATGGAGATCCAAGGAGAAGGCATCTTGCTAAGGGATCTACAATAAGTGAGAACATTCACTTTAGAGGAAAGTTTTAAAGGTTTACTCAGACCTTTGATGTAAGTATTCAATCTATTAATTGAATGATACATCATATTTTTATTTTTGCATAAAACTTGTCTCTATGTGATGAATCAAGATCTATGAATCAAAATCCCTCGAAAAGTTTTTAAAACTTGCACGTTTCCCAACAGTGGTATCAGAGCATGGTTTGATTCATTACTAGAGATCATGATTTTATGAAGATCATCATTCATGGATCCAAAATTATATTCATATATATTTTTATTGATGTATGTTGATGTATGATTTAATATGTTGATATATATTGATACATGATGATGTATGAATAATTGTGAATGAATGATGATGTATGGTTGGGCCATGGATGAAGCTTATAGGAATATTGAATGTAATTTTATCTTTGGATGAATGTAATTAAGGCTTTGATTTAGCCGTTTGAAAGTTCAATGATGTAATTTATTTTTCCCATTGTATTTCAAGTTGTAAATATTTTTAAAGCCATGTAATATTCATCAAATGATGCTATGAAGCTTCAAGAAGGTCCAAAAGGGTTAAATTAGGCTTCAGGAATTTTCTGGGATTTTTTAGAAATTTTCTGGAATTTTTCTGAAATTTTTAGGGCCTAAATTTAATTTCTGAAAATTTTTATTAATTTTTCTGGAATTAACGGCGGTTTTCCGGTGACCGGAGGCTCACCGGCGGCAAGAGGCAAGACCGGAGGAAGAGATAGGATCCGGTGCAACGCAGGACTATGCAACCGGATCCACAACCGTTGATCAAGGGCTGCAATCAAGTGCAGCACCAACAGAATACACCTGGCGCGTGAGGAGCACACGCCAGGGTCATCAGTTTGCTGGCGCGTGAGAAGCACGCGCCAGCACAAGTCAACCTCTTCCACGCGCACGTGCAGGCGCGTGGAGGTGCTCCCACGCGCCCCAGGCGCGTGCAAGCGCGTGGGGGCGCGTGTCTTGACCTGGCAGCTCCCCTAGGCGCGTGGGAGCGCGTGTGGGGTCTTTCAGGCTTGTTCCAGGCACTGTTATGCTTCTTCAGGCGCATTCTTGTCTCCTACGGGTGTTTGCAAGTGGATGGAGGACCCTCGGGCAATACTTAGAGCAATTAAATGTTAAAAGCTAAATCCATTGGCCATTTAAATTGTTTCTGTCTGTGGTTTAATTATTTATTGATGTATGTGATGCATGGAATAGATAATTGATTATTAATTATTATTCATGCATTGGATCCATGATATTTATTTAAATGCCTTGATTTATATTAATTAAGTTATGAAAATTAATTGGATCTGATTACTAATTAATTTGAGGGCACTTATTGGGAAACGCAAAATTATTTTTTGTAAATTGTTTTTAAAGTGTGCTTCAAATTAAATATTAGTGAATCGTTTAAAGTCCAAATATTTTCTAAATTTAATTGGATTAAAACTAAGACGTTTTGCATGCATTATATCATGTAAATAAATAAAATGAAAACCTTAATTATGAATGATTAAAAATTGAGTGGGAGCGGGGATTTTTATACATTGCCCCATGGCGTTCGTTATTAACACCATTGTAATTAGATCTTCAAAAATAAGGCCCCACGCATGATTTGAAGAGTCTTAATATTACAAGAATGGTTGTCTCGTGAAAATACAAATATTAAATGTTCATTGTAATTAGATCTTTAAAAATAAGGCCCTACGCATGATTTAAAGAGTCTAGATTATAATGACAACATATTTAATGTTTTATTTTTATTAGAGCATTAATAACGTTATACACTCAATCTAAAATCAATAGTGTTAGCTCCCCAACGGAGTGGTCTATACTAGGTGATTTTAGAAAGGCTAAACATAATCGGAAATCATTTCATATAGATAGACAAGGCATTGTCTTAAGAGATATGGAAATGATGGGATTTGCCCGCCAATAACAATAATGAACTTCGCCAACCGAATAAGTTATTGATGTATTGGTTATCCGATTTTTCATGCAGTGGTTAAGGGACCCACATATTATTATTTCAATGGAAGTGCTCGCCTAATAGCAAATGAATCTCAATAATAGTAATAATGAACTCCTCCAACAGGATAAGTTATTGACATATTGATTGGTTGATTTATTATGCTACAGAGTTGAGGGACCCGCATTAATTAAAATGGATTGTTCACCAATAATGATAATGATCTCTTGTTCGATTGAGATTTATTATATTATGTGGTTAACAAACTCATTTTAATTTTAAATATGCATGACAGAATTAATAATTCACCTTGCATGTTGTATGAATGCATTTATATTCAGATGAATTATGTTTAATCCATTTTATCTGCTTGCTTACATATTCTATGATATTGGACCTTATTTATAATGACTGGAAAATGAACTTAGATATTTTATTCACAACGTAAGAGTACAAAATGTGTTTATTACTCCTATACCTATCTCTTTTACTTTGAAATACCAAATTTGACATTAATGCTTTTAATAAATTAGATAAGGCAAATGAGATGACTTGGTGCAATATTCTAGAGTTTACCTCGAATATGCTCCAAAGCTAACATTTACATTATTTTATTTTCTTCAAGCATCATGTTAAAATTTTAATAAGATGTTTTGGTGAGATTAGATAGAGAGTATGCCAAAGTACTATGTCAGACTTGAATAGCATCAAGATAGCCTAAGGAACTCCAGTATGAAATTGAATTTTGAAAAATGATTGTTTATTATTTAAAAATTAGCTGGAGATCAATAAGGCTGACTTGGGTGGTAAGTTTCAAGTTAACATGATTATTGCCTTGTTACCAAACTCGTTCGACTC